ATAGGCAAATCCACAGAGACAGAAAGAAGATTAGTGGTTGTCAGTGGCTATGAGGAGGAAAGAATAGGGAGTGACTGCTAATGAGTACTGGCTGTTAGTCTGAGGTGACTAAAATGTTCTGAAATTAGTGGTGATGGTTGCACAACTTTGTGACCATATTAAAAACTAATGCTGACTGATTGTACACTTTAAAAAGGTGAATGTGTCCTGGCTGATGTGGCTCAGCTGGGTGAGTGGTCCCATGCACCAAGAGGCTGAGGTTCAATTCTCAATCAAGGCCTATGCCCAAGTTGCGGGCTTGATCCCTGGTAGAGGGTGTGCAGGAGGCAGCCGATCAGTGTTTCTCTCATATGAATGTTACTCTCTCTTTCCCTCTCCCTTTCTCTCTCTCTAAAATCAATAAAAACTTACTTTACAAAACAAAAAAGGTGAATTTCAGGACATGTGAATTATACCTCAATTAAAATAAAAATTTTAAATGAACTAAAAAATTAAGAGAAAATGTATAGCAAATCTTTTTTCCCCCACTCGTGTTACATGCCCATCTTGAGGGTCTGCTCCATGTCAGACTTATTACTCAGAGATTCAGGTTAAGGGAGACTCTACCAACTAGAACACTTGGGAGGTTAAGGAAACATGGAAAATTGCACAGCCGAACTCAAAGGCTTCAGATTTTGGGATATATACTTCCCTTTCACTCACAATTCATAGACAAAGTAAGTCACTTGGCCAAGTTTAAATTCAATGGGATAGAGAAGTACTCTTGTCATGTATCCAGAATGAAGAGAATTAGAAGCATTTGATCAATAGTATTATGACCAGTACATTTATCAGTGAGTTCTTAACTTGGCTCAAAACTACAGCAGACCAAGGGAAAACTATAAAGTCAGGATTCTTACCCTCGAGAAGCTCAGTGTGGCAAAGGTGACATCATGCTTGATAACTAAATATATGCCAAAGTGCTAAACTAAGGACTATAGTAGCAATACAAATAAATACAGAAGCAAAAAGGAGAAGGTGATTAATTAAGCCTATCAGGAATAGTGAAGTTAAAAGTTGGGCAAACCCTAACAGACAAGTAGAATGTCCCCTCTTTGAAGAGGGAAGGGAGGAAAAGTAGAGGCAAAAGAAACCACTGTTTCCAGTGGCTATTCCATGCAAACAGCCTGTCTTGGCACATGCTTCAGACTTTCCTAAAATTTCTCAAACAAGCAGCACCTGGCCTCAGCAAGCCAAATACCTCTTGTAAATGGGCCCAGTCCCGGTACTAGTGGCAGTGGCCTCCGTTTGCAGCTTGATCTCTCCTTAGCACCTCAGAGCCAAGCACAAGCAGCAGCCATCTGGAGATCACTTTGTAGCTCATGCCAGGTGGGTCCTACAGATGACCTTGGCCTGAACCTACCAGGAAGCCCCAGAACCAGCACAACTGATGAATAGCTTCAGATCACTTTCCAACCTCCTCCACAAGGGACACACTCAAAGGGTGGACACAACAGGAAACAGAGCCCCAGTGAAGCTCCATGGGTTTGACCCCTGCACAGCTAATCCTCCATGGTGGTTATAGTCAGTCCTGGTAGCCAATCTAGCCCAAGGGAAAAGCCCTCCCACTGAGATGCCAACAGCAATCAAGGCTTAACTTCAACAGGACAGTATACATAGCGTACAGGGGGACGGGGGAGGTAAGGGACTTGGAGTGCCCAGCTCAGGTGACTGGGGAGGCTGTGCTACTTACTAGACCCTATAGGACAACTACTATATAAAGGCACACTACCAAGCACAGGAGACATAGCAAGTCTACCTGATACATAGAAACAAACCCAGGGAGTCAGCCAAAATAAGGAAACAAAGCAACATGTCCCAAATGAAAAAATAAAACAAAACTCCAGGGGGAAAAAACTAAACAAAATGTAAACAAGCAATCTACTAGATGCAAAGTTCAAAAACACTGGTTATAAGGATGGTCAAAGAACTTCGTAAGAACTGCAATAAAGATAGGAAACATAAAAAAGGAAATAGAACACAAAAAGAACCAGTCAGAAATAAAGAATACACTAACTGAAATAAAAAATACATTACAGAGAATCAACAGTGGATCAAATCAGAGATTTGGAAGGAAACAGAAAACACCCAATAAGGATAACAAAAAGAAAAAAATAATCCAAAAAAGTAGACAGTATAAGGAGCCTCTGGGACAACTTCAAGCATACCAATATTTGCATAATGGGGATGCAGGAAGGAAAAGAGAGCAAGACACTGAAAACTTATGTGAAAAAATCATGATGAAAAACTCCCCTAACCTGGTGAAGGAAATGCACATACAAGTACGGGAAGCACAGAAAATCCCAAACAAGATAAACCAAAGAGGCCCACACCAAGAGACATCATAATTATAATGCCAAAAGTTAACAACAAAGAGAGAATCTTAAAAGCAGCAAGAGAAAAGCAGTTATCTACAAGAGAGCTCCCATAAGACTGACAGCTGATATCTAAACAGAAACTTTGCAGGACAGAAGGGATTGGCACAAAATATTCCAAGGGATGAAAAGCAAAGACCTACAACCAAGATTACCCAGCAAAGCTATCCTTTAAAATCGAAGGACAGATAAAGAGCTTCCCAGACAAGAAAAAACTAAAGGAGTTCATCACCACCAAACCAGTATTACAAGAAATTTTAAAGGGTCTTCTTTAAGAAGATGAAGAAAGAATATAAAAAATATGAATAATAAAATGACAATAAATACATATCTATCAACAATTACTTTAAATGCAAATAGGCTAAATGCTCCAATCAAAAAAACCTATGGAGGCTGAATGGATAACAAACAAGACCTTCACATATGCTGTCTACAAGAGACTCACTTCAAAAGAGATGGGAAAAGATATTTCATGAAAATGGAAACAAAAAAAGCTGGGGTAGCAATACTTAGGCCAAAACAGATCTAAAAAACAAATTAAATGAACAAGCATAACAGAAACAGAGTCACAAAGAGAGAACATTTTGACAGTTGCCAGAGAGGAGGGGGTTGGGGATAATGGGTGAAAAGGGTGAAGGCATTAAGAAGTACAAACTGGTAATTATAGAATAGTTATGAGGATGTAAAGCACAGCACAGAGAATATAGTCAATAATCTTAAGAGGTAATATGCAAATAGACCATCACGCCCTCACAAGATGGCTGCCTACAACCAGGCCGGCAGGGGGGGTTAGTGAGGGGGCAACCAGGCCGGCAGGGGGGGCAGTAAGGGGTGACCAGGCCAGCGAGGGGGGGGGGGGGGGCGCGATCAGGCAGGCACACAGAGGCAGTGAGGAGCAATCAGGCCAGCAGCAGGGGGCAGTTAGGGGCGATCAGGTCGGCATGCAGAGGCAGTGAGGGGCAATCAGGCCAGCGGGGGGGGGGGGGGGGGCAATTAGGGGTGACCAGGCAGGCAGGCAGGCGAGCGATTAGGAGCCAGCAGTCCAGGATTGTGAGAGGAATGTCCGATTGCCGGTTTAAGCCTGATCCCAGGGATGGGGCTTAAACCGGCAATCGGACATCCCCCAAGGGGTCCAGGATTGGAGAGGGTGCAGGCTGGGCTGAGGGGAACCCCCTCTTCCCGTGCACGAATTTCATGCACCGGGCCTCTAATATTGTAATAACTATGTATGGTGTCAGATCAGTACTAGATTTATAAGGGTGATCACTTCTTAAGTTATATAATGTCTATTCCCTAGGTTGTATGCCTGAAACTAATATAATAGTATATGTCAACTGTAACTGAAAAATATAAATTTATTTAAAGTAAAAAAGAATTACAGTGGGGCCTTGACTTACGAGTATCCCAACTAACAAGTTTTTTGAGATACCAGCGGTCTCTCAGCCGATTTTTTGCATTGAGTTGACAGAGTAATTTGAGTTAACGAACTCCTTAACGAGCTCAGTCCGGGAACGAATTAAACTCGTAAGTCAAGGCCCCACTGTAGTAGGTAAACCTTTCAAAGCTATAATGTACAGATCAGGGGTTTCATCTGCAATTTATATACAATACCTAGGTACTAAATATATTTGTTAAATGAATAAAGATCTTGTATTTAGTGGCAAAAAGATGAAGAAAACACTTTACACTAACAACAGGAAAAGTATATATTTGGCTATGATAAACAATGCTCTGGCTATAATTTAAAAAAAAAAAAAAAGAGAGCTACTTAGTACAACAGTTTGGGCTAAATAAGACTAAGATAATTCAGCACATAGGTAAGTAAAGAATAATATCTAAGCCCAGAGCACAGCCCAGCACTTTCTAGAAACTGTGGCTATTTCAGAATTGCTGGAGTACTTCCCAACTGTGGTGTAGACCCATAATTTATTGCTGAGTGACTTTCCTATACATCATGTTACTTCTACTCCAGAACTAAAATGTGATCTGGCCCTGGCATAAAAATAGTACTTGACCTTCAAGCACTGGAAACCTTACTGAGGCAGAGAGGGGTGTTGGGGGGGATCAAGAGGCCAAGTGTTTTCTTAAGCAGAATATTTTCTACAACTTGCCCCAGATTTTACAGCCAGGATGATGTTTGTCTAAAGAGGGTTTATCAACAAAATTCTGACTTCAGTTGTTCATAATTAGCAAATTTTAGAAACTGGTAGGCAAATCACTCTTCAAAGATAATTTTTTGAAAGTTTCAGAAAAAAATTAACATATACACATTTATATTATAAACGCCACCAAATACCAAAGTGCACCGGAAAAAAATAAGGTTTTAAATAAATATTCACATGGTAATAAATGAATCAGTTAAAGTCTGAAATATATTCAATCTAAAAAATTTCCACAATTTATGTCAAAATTTTTAAATAATAATCTATTACAAAATTAGCTCCTTTGGTCAATATCCACCTAGAAAGTGTTTATAAATTTATCTCATACTCAAATTAACAAGCCTCTGGAGTTATATTATACAGGCTAATTGCAACCAGTCAGAAAATCCCAAGGAAGCAGAAAGCAATACAATCAGTTCTTTACCTGCAGCTCCTTTGAGACTCTCTCTAAGTGATTAGTTATCTTCTTAATCAGATCACTATACATCTGTTCTGAGTGCTGCTGGCATACACATTTATACACACAACTGTGGGGAAACAAAACAGAAAAGCCAGGTTAATGATGAAGCATGTAATTCAGCCTAAGGTTAAAGCATACTCTGTATATACAGCCACTGGTCAAATAACCAATTCAGGCCTAAAAACAGTGACCAATCACAACTTTTAAATAAAAAATTTACCCTGCTCCAATCAGTGTTCAGATAGGAGATGTATTACCACCAGCAACAAATAAATCTTTTATGAGTACTCTACTACACATTTTATCAATACTAGATAATCTAATACTTGGTGATAATCTGAGAGTCTGACTATGGTAACTACTTATAGACCAGCTTCTCTCTCATTTTAATGAATGTCAAAATAAGGAAGAGAGAGTGATAATGGTAGAAAGTTTCTAACTCACAAAAACATGTGCAATGTAACCTCTTTGTGCCTCACTTGTGTGGAACAACCCAGTTGTCACTTCCTCCTCTTGTGACTGGGTTGATCTCATAACCACCCCAGTTCCTCACTAATTTGCTGCTTCCATTTACCAGGAGCTGGGAAACAAAATAACCAGAGAGTTAGAACTGTGTGTCAATAAACATGGACAGATTAAGCTAAAGTCTCCCTGTGAAACTAAACATATATATTTTTGCTGACCTCCATCATTTCTGCATTATATATGGCACAGATGGCAGGCTGAGATGGAGTTAACTCTATCTTGATTTGAAAACCAAGTCTGAAGCAAAAAGTATAAATCAAACCTTCAATCCACATGTGTGTAACATATAAATAACTTAGAGCCTCATCTTATATATTATATATATTATATGCATACATACTATCATAATCAAGTTGCCATGAACCTCAATACCCTCTCAAACCCAGGCGAATTAAATCCCGACTTACCTGTATATCTGTTCATAGGATATGGGGATATAGTCACCAGGACTCTGGGTTAAAAGCTGATCTATGGCACCATCCAATTTTGGCCAATATGTGCTCTTATAATCTTCAATAGTTATAACATTCATTACTAAAAGTAAAAAGTAAAATAAATATTACTATTACCACATGTAAAGTAAACAGGAACTATAGCAATTTTGTATCCTCAGTCAAATTCCTTTTAGATTTCACACTGACACTTTATCACCTAAATACAACTCAATTACTATCCCATTTCAAAAAAACAAAACAAAACAAAAAACACCAAAACAGCCTGGTCAGGGATTCTAAGCAACCATAAATGATGATTTTAAGAGGAATTACTATGAATTTGTCCATCTTTAAAAATAAAAACAAAACAAGCAAATATCACTGGTTTCCCTTCCTGGTTTCTGTAAGCTTCCGTGATCAGTGGAGCCACTCAAACTTGCACTGACCTTCAAATACCCATTTGTCAATGATGTAAAAAGATATCCTATCTGTGAACCACAACAAGGTTATGGAACACCCCTGGGAAAATCTACCTAAGCATGACTATGAAAATTAAAGTCCAAATTTTACAGTAAGGCCCGGTCAGCTTGGCTCAGTGGTTGAGTTTTGACCTATGAACCAGGAGGTCCTGGTTCAATTCCCAGTCAGGGTATATGCCTGGGTTGTAAGCTCGATCCCCAGTGGGGGGCGTGCAGGAGGCAGCTGATGATCAATGATTCTTTCTCATCATTGATGTTCTATCTCTCTCCCTCTCCCTTCCTCTCTGAAGTCAATAAAATCATTTTTTAAAATGCTATCGTAACAAAAGAAGTTACTGAAAACCTGCAGAGACTTACTAGTGCCTCCTAGACATTGCTATAACTCTGGTGGGCTCTTGCTACCTTACACCCTGGATAAGCCCAACAGAAAAAAGCATCGATGAACTAGAGCCTTACACTGAGGCTTACCTCATGCCCAGTGGCTAGCTTACTCCTTCACTCCACGTTTAATAAAGCATTTTTCACAGTGTCCTAACAACTTTGATATCCATGGTGACGGCTATTTCACAACAATGAAATGAAGCCAGTGTTAAAAAGAACTACCCAAAGCCTCTAAGACAGTGGTTCTCAACCTGTGGGTCGCAACCCCTTTGGGATAGAATGACCCTTTCACAGGGGTCGCCTAAGACCATCGGAAAACACATATATAATTACATATTATTTCTGTGATTAATCACTATGCTTTAATTATGTTCAATTTGTAACAATGAAGTTGGGGGTCACCACAACATGAGGAACTGTATTAAAGGGTCGCGGCATTAGGAAGGTTGAGAACCACTGCTCTAAGACATCTTATGTCTTGTGAACTACCTCAGAAGATCAGAGCTAACAACTACTACATCCAGTATTTTATTGTTTTACCAGAAACTGGGGCGCTCAGGGGTTGACTTCCCCAAGGGTTCGTGGCTAATTACTGGCAGAGATACCAAGGAAAACAAAGCCTTTACCTAGCTTCTTTCTATCACATCAGTGATTTCTAAATATTAGTCACTGAGGTTCAAGATGCTTCTCACCCATTATTCTCCAACTCCAACCTATCTAAATATTCAAATCAGAAGTATTGCTCAGTTGAGATGACACAGGTGTAAACCACACTAACTGCATGCAGGTCTGCCATAGTTTTAGAATTCTGTGATTTCCTGCAAGATTTAAAAACAAGTAATCTTTCCATGGCATTAAGACCAGGAAAGTTTAACTTTGAAGCAGCAGCGTAAGGCAGGTGTGCTGAGGTAGAAACACCATTCAGTGCACTAATAGGTGTCCTGCAGGCCTCTGAGCAGTTCAGGACTTGAGGATAGGATACAGTGAGTGTGGATTAAAGGCAGAGAGCTGGTGGGTGAGAGGTAAAGATTGACTGGAAGACTAAACAGTAAAAAAGAGAAGTATTGTTAGTGCAAAAACTGAAAGATAAAAGCTTCAGACTCTAAGATTCATAGTAGATGTGTGTGTGTGTGGGGGGGGGGTGTCGGGGCGGGGGGGGGTGTCATAGGGCTTGTGGATTTTAAGTCAACAGTAACATTAGAAATGCTCAAATATCTAACCCTGCTCTTCTCTTTAATTCTAGAATGCCATCAGCCTGAAGAAATATACTTTTTTTCCTGCTCCACCTATCCACCCCATCCTTCTCCCTTCGAATGGAAGATCCTTCTTTATGGAAACTGAACAATCCCAGAGAAAAGACATTAACATACTATTTGGCACTTCCTGCACAAAATAGCAGTTCTGCAGAGAAGCCCACACTTTTACTTGAAAAGGCCCCCCTCAAACACAGAACTGCCAATTAGCCTTTTTCACTTTTAAATATGAATAGAGCTAAAGATCATCAAGATTTGTAAAATCTCAGACAGGAGAGATCAAAACAAACAAAAATTTATATGATAAAAACAAAGATAATTAAGAAAATAAAACTCTCTCAGAACAAAGCGAAAACTAATGAACAAACTTAGAGAATCAAAACAGGAAATCAACATTTGACTAACAGTATCAATTCCAGAGAAAAGGGAAAATAGAGAAAATGTAAAGGGAGAAAAATATTGACAAATATAAGAAAATATCCCAGAAATGTTCAAGGAAAAAAAAGTCACATGGCATCTGAACTCTCCATTCTAATACTGCAAGCTTAAAGTCAATGACGCAACACTAAAAAAGTCCAAGGAAAAAAGATTTTCAGTTAAGAAGTCTATACACATACTGTCAATTAAGTGTGAAAAGCAGCACTTTTATATATACAAACTTATCCACACACACATTTTCTCAGAAGATATGTTCTGAATACAACACACACATACAACAGAACACACCAATAAAAAAGAAGACATCAAGTAACTATTTGGGAAGTCCCTGAGAAGCAACTGTGCAGAGACCCTAAAGAATAAATAAGAACAGGAAGACTAACAGCTTCACAAGCAGACAAGAAAAAATACTGATTAACTGAGCATTGTGAAAACACCAGTGACAGATATATGGTGAATCTGAGGAAGCTGTTGCAACGTTTTTAAGATGAGTTTAACAAAAATCATGTAAGTATAAATAAGGCAACTAATACCAAAATTCTTTCTATGTGAAAGAATGTGTAATCTGAGTATACTCCTGGCCCTTGAGTGACTATTTACATAGTCATAATGTAAATATGGTCTATTGACTGAACCAAAAATTGTGTTATTAACTGAAGAGATGAGGTATGTGAGAACTAAATCCTCACCTGAATGGGAAGTCAATAGGTAATATAAAAGTGATAAATTAAAGAATAACAATATTAACACATTAAAATGAGTGGATAAATATCAAAAGAAACATCTAAATGCATTGAGTAAAAAGTCCAGGAATGAAAGAGGCAGGGGAGGGCACCACTGATTTTAATTATGTGTCTTTTCACAGTTTGAGTTTTCAAATTACAAACTTGTAATAAGAGCAAAGTTTTGGTTTAAGTCCAAAGAGTTTGCTGAATCTTAAATCCTCAGAAATGGAAAAATAAATCTAATGAAATTAAATTTTCATCTTAGTATTTCCAATACTCTGAAGCACAGAATGAGAAAGCTCAGACTGACTGATTGCCTACTAATCCTCACTACCTTAATGGTCCATAGACATCTTTTAAAAAGAGACAGACACACACACACACACAGACCTACCTATACTCCTCCCACATTCAGGTCAAAGGTAGTGCCAGCTTCCAGTCATCCAAACCCTCAATCTTGAGTCTTCATCCTCCCTCCTTGACCCATAAATTTTGTAGAGTCTAGTCCCCATATAGTTCCAAAATCTGAAACAACCTCTTCCAATGCTGTGTGTCAAGCATGTCAAACTCGCAGCCCACAGGCTGCATGTGGCCCACAATGAGTATTTTTGCAGCCCAGTCAATATAATGGTATGTAAGAAATGTTTTAATAAAAATCAATTTTTACAATATCCTGTTATACACAACTAGAGGCTCGGTGCACGAAATTCATGCACAGGGAGTGGGGGGGTGGATGGGGGGGGGGAATCCTCAGCCCAGCCTGCACCCTCTCCAATCCAGGGCCCCTCGGGGGATGTCTGACAGCCTCTCGCAATCCTGGACCGCTGGCTCCTAACCACTCGCCTGCCTGCCTGATCACCCCTAACCACCTCTGTCTGCCTGATCACCCCTAACCATCTCTGCCTGCCTGCCTGATTGCCCCTAACTGCTCCCCTGCTGACCTGATCGCATCTAACCACCTCTGCCTCGCCCCACACCCAGGACTCAGGATTCCCTCCTCCAGCCGGTCGCAAGCAGCCAGGACCCAAGCCGGCTTCACCCGGGCCGGTCACAGCTGCAGGGGACCGTAGGCAGGGGGGGCTTCACCCAGGCCACAGGCACTGGCGCCTGGGACCGCGGGGCATGCGGCTTGTCCCTCTCCCAGGCCACAGGCACAGGTGCAGCCACTGGCGCCCAGAACCGCAGGGCGGGCTGCTTGCCCCTCTCCCGGGCCGCAGCCTAGCTGGCCCCCATTCCCCTCTCGTGAGCTCATTTGTGCCTGGCTGGTCCCCATTCCTCTCTCCCCAGTGTTGAGTGTCTGAGCCGTTAAGGCGTTACTAAGGCGTTACAGTGTGAGGGTGTGATGACTATTTGCATATTAGCTCTTTATTATATAGGAGGATTATTAATAACAAACTATAACATTCACTAATGACTGATTACTATAATTGTGTTGCATTCATTTCCCTTATGCGCCTTATGCATAGGTGCACTATTTCTCTCCACTAATACTAGCGGTGAATATTTTAGCAGGCAATTGCCATGTCATTAGTTTGTACTGACTTGTTTGGTGTGCACAACAGGAAATATTTCACTTTCAGAGAACAAGAAAAATAGGTTTATTTGTGTTATGCTTATTAATTTGTGCAGTTATTCAGTGTCTGGTAAGTTAATGTTCAAGAAAATATATTAATTTTTATTAAAATGTTCTGTTATTTTATGTTAACGATTACTCATTGATTTCAGCCCTTTGTATTCAGCATGTCTCTATCGAAATAAACCTACGTTTCTATGAAAATTGAAGCTTTTGTTTTTTTGCGGCCCACATAAACTTAAACCTTGTTT